GTAATGTCCCTTGTTTCATCCCTCATCCTTGCTATTAAGATTCATTCCTTCCTTTCTTTGGTTAGGTTTGTTAACAGTCTATCAATTCTGTTAATCCTTTCAAAGAACCAGCTTTTTACTGCATTGATAATTTGCATTGTTTTTTCCCTCATGTATCTCAGCCCTGATTTTTATTATTGTATCTTACTATTAGATTTATTGTCCTGGTGCCTCTCCTCTAATTTCTGGAGATTTTGTGCCAGCATATCAATTGTAAGTCTCTTTTCCTTTTTGATTTGTGCATTCATATTGCTATCAAACATCCTCTGATAACTGCTTTTGCTGTGCCCCAAAGGTTTTGGTACCTTGTATTCTCATTCTTGTTGGTTTCTAAAAACTTCCTAATTTCATCTTTGATCTGAACCAGTACCCACTGATTTTGCAGTAGAGAGTTATTCATCCTCCAATTGTTTTCTTAATGGTCCTTTTGTTAATTTCCAGTCTTATGACATAGTGATCTGAGAGGGAAATCTCAGTGACCTCTATGTGCTTGAATTTACACAGGTTCAATTTGTGTCCCAGCATGCGGTCTATCTTCAAGTATGTAACATGTGGGCTTGAGAAGAATGTGAATTTTTTTGGCTTTAGGTAGAGAGCTCTGGAAATATCTATCAGGTCAAGCTGCCTAATTGTAGACTTTAGTTCTGTAGTTTCCTTGTTAAGCTTCTTTCTCTGTGATCTATGTGTATTAAAGTAACATACTATGATTGTTGAGCCTGTGATTTCTTTTTTCATCTTTTGCAGCGTTTGATTGACAAGTTTCACAGATCTCTCAGTGGGTGCATACATATTTATTATGCTCATTGGTTCTTGGTTTACCATTCCCTTAAGCATTATATAGTACCCCTCCTTATCTCTTGTTATGGCTTGCATCATTAGATCAGTTTTGTCAGAGATTAGGATTGCAACTCGTGTTTTTTTTTAATTGCTGTTTGCTTGGTATATTTTTTCTCTAACCTTTTATTCTAAGATATTTTCTGTAAGCTTGAGCGTGTCTCTTGTAGTCAGCAGATCGATGGGTTGTGTTTTCTAAGCCAGTCCGCTAGTCTCTGTATTTTAATGGGCTAGTTCAGTCCACTGATATTCATAATTATTACATCCATCTGTGGATTCAGTGATGTCATCATGTACTGTTGTGCTGTGTATTTTCCTACCTCCCTTCTTATGCGTTGTGCATGTGTATGTGGGGTTCATTCTTGCTTTCTTTTCACTGTTGAGCCAATGCTATCTTGGGGGCTGTTTATGATGTGTTGGCCTCTGGGTGGAGTTGCTCTATGTGGTGGTCTCTTATTTGTGTTAGATGATTGTTGTTCTGCCCATAGTGGGTCGGCATGAATATTTTGTAGATCTGGGTTTCTTTTAACTTATTCTTTGACTTGGAAGACTATTACTTCTCCATATATCTTGATGGATCATTTGGCTGGGTAGACTATTCTTGGGTTTGCATTATTTTTCTTTCAACTTTTGGAATATGTTGCTCCACTCTATCCTCTACTTCATGGTGTCCACTTATAGGTCTGAGCATATTCTTATTTGGGTACCTTTATAGGTGCCTGCCTTTCCTCCCTGGCTGCTCTTATGATTTTCTCCTTTTCCTCACACTTGAATAGTTTAACTATTATATGCCTTGGTGAATTCTTCTTGGGATTCAGTCTAGCTGGTGTTCTTTCGGCTTCCTGAATGCTTACCTGGTTTTCATTCATAAAGCTTGGGAAGTTTTCTTCTAAGAATTCCCTCACTATTTTTGCTATTGATTTCTTCATTGTGTCTTGTTCCATAGTCCAATTATTCTAATGTTATTCCTCTTCACTGCATCAAACATTGTTCTCAGTTTTCTTCAGCTTCTCTGATTATCTTGTTTGACTGCCTTTTCAGTTTGTTGAAGTCTGCCTGGTTATCTTCGAGGTTACTGGTATGGTTTTCTGCTTCTTCTAGTCTGTTGGTGAGGTCTGTGAATTTGTTATTTGCTTTTGTTACCTTGTCCCTTAACACTTGTATTTCCCTTTGGTGCATGTTCTTTATCTCCTATATCATTTCATCCTTTTTCTATATTGTTTCCCACATATCCTGTATGACTCCAAGCAGCATTCTGAAAAATTCTTTCTGTGGCAGATCAACATCTGGTACTTCTATGAATGTTGTTAGGTTCAGGACTGTCTATGACATTGCATTTTGTTTCTCCTGTTTTCTCCTTGAGGTTGTTGAGGCAGCTTGCTGTCTGAGTGTTGTTTTGGTTGAGCTCAGTGCCATTTTCTTGGCAGTCAAAGATGCCTGGGCTCTCTCGTTGGAAGGTTGGTAGGAATGCTTCTTCAGACTGCCAGTAGGAGTCTGTTTGAGGCTGTGGGGACTACCACAGATGCACAGGCTGTGGTCCGAAGCTAAGTGATGGCCTGGGAGTGGGAGTGTAAGGGTCTGTCTGTGACTAGAGGCACTGTGGGCAGGCAGGGGTGACACCCCAGCTGATGCTGTCAGCTTCCTGCATCTCCACATACAGGTGTTGGGAGAGTGCTGGTCACAGTGAGGGAAGGGGAGGATAATGCCAGTCTTGGAGGAGGGCCCCATGCTGTTTGGGGTGTCAAACCAAGGCTGAAAAAGCCTCCTTCTGGCAGTCTGTGAGCTTGGGGCATAGCTGCTGGGTTGTGGGCGGATGACCATGGGTGGTACCTGCTATGGAATCCACAGCCACACAGGCGGTGTGGACTGGGCAGCCCTTGTATCTGCTGGAGATGGGGTGAAAATCAGCTCTGGGTTCAAGGAAGTGCTCTGGGCTTCACAGGGATTAACCAACAGGCTCGGATCCCCTACTGGATCTCCTGATATCCCCACTCACCAATCTCCATGGAGCTCCCAGTGTAGGCTGCCTACCTGGTTGTCATCTTGTCAGAAGTCCAACCAATAACACAAATAATTGATCCAATGGCATATAGTTAAGCTACTGTTATTATGAGTTTATGTTGAGTATAGACCAACTGTGAGCTCTAATCCATGAATTGTTGCTTTGTGCAGATTGATTACCTTATTGATGGAGCTCTGTTAACATTGAACATGGAGGTTGGTGCTAGGGGAAGATTTACTGTAACATTTCTTACAAGGACAGATTCTTGCATCTCAGATTAATATCTCCCACATTAACCCTATAATGCAGAGTGCAACATTTTCATAACATTTAATTAAATGTATATGTTACATCAATGTTTCATACATTGATAACTATGAAAGAAAAAAATAAAACCAAAATTTTCCCCCTGAAATAAAAAATTCAGGCATTATAGGGTTAATGCAAGGGGAGTATTGAAATACTAAATGTATGGTGGTTCTGTGTCCCTTTTTATTGGATGTCATGGTCTAACAATTGCCATTTCCATAGTCTTGTGATGGTCATCTTTTGCTTTCTCTCTCATCAGGGAATTTCAATCCTAAATCTAAGGGTTGGTTACAGGGAGTTTTGAGGTAGGTCCCAGTTTGTTCAATCAGGCTTTCATGTTGAGTCCTTCAGGTGTGACCCATGGAGGATGCCATGTTCCCTGCAAGTTCAGCGTCTAAGGTCATCATAGTGCTTTGTCCATGGAGTAGTTCACTGAGGGTTGGGTAGAAACTTATTCAAAGTGATTACTCAGGAACATGGAACAACATTTATTCTCCCCTTAGGTTCCCTACAATTATTCTTCATCATCCCTTCCCAATGTGAAGTGGCTCCTCCCGATTTACCCATCATCCACACCAAAAGAAATATAAATGCCTCTGAAATGTACATGATCCCTTCACCTGGTCTTCACTTGATTTTCCATTAAGGTTCTCCTCTCATTCCTGAGGGGGAGCTGTTGATTTGTCTTGTCTTAATGATGTGTAGCATCAAGTGGATGGTCTTTTTCCTTCTCTTCCTTCTCGAAGGAGTGACCTCCATTGATTTGAGGTCTCCTATTTTGAGGTGGTTCTTATGAAGTGCACCTAAGTAGGGGTGGTGCCTGGTTCATAGCTGGTGGGTAACCTTTCTACCCTTTCTTTGGATATTGGTCTCTAAAATTTGTTTAATTGGTGTTTCTCCCTATATTCCTGGACTCACAATATTTGTACTTGTATGATTGACTAAAAGCAGGTCCTTCCATGTGATACTGTGTTTCATGCTTTCATCACTGTTTTTTAGGAATGCATAATGTTCCATTGGTGCATGTACCATAGTTTTGGGGTTTTTTGTTTTAGATTTCATAAGGATTTAAAAGAAATCATTTTATAGGAGGCTTGTACAACTCATCACAATCTATACATACAGCCATTGTGTCAAACACATTTGTACATTTGTTGCCGTCATCATTTTCAAAACATTTTCTTTCTACTTGAGCCCTTGGTATCAGCTCCTTTCCCCCCACTCCCTCCCTTACAAACCCTTGATAATTTATAAATTATTATTCTATTCATGTCTTATACTGACTGATGTCTCCCTTTTCTGTTGTTCATCCCCCATGGAGGGGGTTATATTTAGATAACTGTGATTGGTTCCCCTCTCTCCCCCCACCTTTCCCTTACCTTGCTGGTATCGCTACTCTCATTATTGGTCCTGAGCGATGAGGGGTTAGGGGAGCGGGGTGCCTGGTGTAGAAATACCCAAGGCCCACCTGTTATACAGGCTGGTGGGGAAGACAAAGGAATCTTTTCTTTCTTCTCCAAGTGTCTTGTACATAATGAGGCTCCACTGACACTCCAGGACTCAGCTCATCTTTTTATTAGTAGCTGAACACATAACCCTCTGGGCTGCTGAGGACTCCTTAGCCCATCTTATCTTGCTCATACTTTGAGCTCCTTGAAGCCAGGCCTTGATCTCATTCAAATATCTTCAGAACTTGGCAAGACCAGGATTGGAACTCTTGTTGAGTAGCCTAAGGCCTACAGCCCCTTAGCTTATCTTCTGTTTTCTTTCAATTAGTCCATTGTCCTTATGGCCCCCAGCAGAGCCAAACCCTATCTCATAAAACCCCATTCACCTCTCTGTTCACAAAGAAAGTTGAATCATTCCTAGCCTTTGGGAAAAAGTTCTGAGCCAAGTTAGCTATGTGCCTATTCTGTGGCAGCTGATATGTCTCAGGAGGAAGGAAGCTGAGGACCAGTCCATACTGTCAAGCTCCTAGTGGTGGCTAGGGTGCAGCCAGTGGTAGTAACGAGCTGCAGCACCAGGCCCAGCAGGAAGCAGAACCCACCCACAGACAGCAGAATCTCCAAGGGGATCCCGCGAGTTAGCCAACTTTTGTGAGCCACCCAGGTTCCCACCAGGAGGCTACTGTCACTCATGAGGAACATCAGGTGGATGGTGCTCAGCCTTACATACAGCCTTCTAACCACATTGAACCAGGAGAAATAGAGGGTGGTGGTCACCATTGCCTGGTAGAGCCACTTGGAGACAGGGTCTGGAATAAAATCTGTTCCCTGAGCTAGACCCAGAGTAGCAGCAGCAGCCACAAGCAAAGGAAGTGCAGGGCCATGTATGGGGGTGGGGGCAGAGAGCTGAGAAGAGGGCCATGACCAGGACTTGGGGCCACAGCAGTAGCATATTCCACAAGAAGTAGATCCTGGTCCCAGGAGGGGGTTCAGAAGGCAGGCAGGTGCCCAGGGCCCAGTGGTAGTACAGCAGTACCCATGAGATTCTCAGGAAGGACACACAGATGCCAACCCCCTGATAGCACTTGGCCTGGCCACTCTGCAGCACAATGGTACAGTGGCTAGTACCAGTGTCAGCTGCAGCAGCGTCTCCAGGAAGGTCTCAAAGAGCCACAGCATGCTGATGTCTAGGGAGAAGAAGTAGGCTAGGCCAGATCAAAGTCAGTGGGGGATCTCCTGTGGCCACACCAACAGCCCCTGCTGGAGCCTCTGCACACACAGAGGCTCTTCTAACCTGCCCTATAGGGTAACTATGAGTGGGCATTGATTCAGTGGCAGTGAGTATGGTTCCTTAGGCAAAATTCAAACAGTAAAGCTTCCTCACAAAGACAAGATCTGGAGAGAATCTGTCCAGGTAGCCCAGCTGTAGGAAATGCAGCCATTCCAGACGGCCCAACGAGTGTGCCCCATGTAGGCTGGAAGGTTGGCAAGCAGCCAGATCTAGGTGAATAGCTGTAGTATGACTGAGGCGAGGCCCAGCAACTCTAGCACCAGTGCTACACACAGGTAGAAGCTGCAGAGCACATACTGGTCAACGGCCACAGGTAGGTGCCCAGGATCAACAGGAAGGCCAGTGCCCAGTATGCCCAGGATCAGGTCCCAAAGGAGGGTGGTGCGAGAGAGCAGGAGATGGCCTGCCAGCCTCTTCCCAACCCCTCTGTCTCCTTGGAGGCTCCTGCCTGCCCCGCAAACACCAGGGTCGCCGTGTGTACCATAGATTTTTTTATCCATTGTTCCACTGTTGTGCATTTGACTGCTTTCAATTTCTTGCATTTGCGAACTGTGCAGCTATAAACATGGGAGAGCGTACATCTCCTCTGTGTCTCTTATTCTTTGAGATATATACCTAATGTGGCATTGTTGTATCATATGGGATTTAAATTCCTAGTTATTTTAAGTATTATCCTATTGTTTTCCATTGTGGTTGTATGCATTTACAAGTCCACAAACAGTGTATATGAGTTCTATTCGCTCCATAACTTCTGCAGTATTTGTTATTGTGTTAGTTCGGGTAGACTAGAAAACAAATCCATAGAAACTCAAATGTGTATAAGAAAGAGTTTTACATATAGGGTAATTGTACATTAAGAAAGCTGATACAAAGGGCTCAAGCAGAAAGAAAATATTTTGAGAATGATGGCAACAAATGGACAAATGTGCTTGACATAATGGATGGATGTATGGGTTGTGATAAGAGTTGTACGAGCCCCAAATAAAATTATTAAAAAAGAAAAAAAAAGAAGCATCCCAGCCCAGTCCAGTCCATAAGTCTGATATTAACCCACATGTCTGATACTGATCTATACAGTCCTCTTCAGACTCACGAAACACATGCAAGGATCCCAAGTGCAGGACGGTCACAGGTCAGTGGGTAGAAAGTCTTTGGATTCAGTGAACGTGTAAGCATCTCAGCATTGGCATGGATCTCCACGTGGCTTTTCCAGCACCCAGTGCTGCATTAGGGTAGGTCCATGTGGCTTCTCCTCAGGGATGTCTTGCAGGGAGTCAGCCTTGTCAGTAGAGATTCTCCAAGGGAGTGACGAGCGAGAGAGTGAGCGAGAGTATCTCATCTCCAAGGAGGAAAATCTCTGAGTTCCCAGAATTCTCAGGAGAAGGCCTTGCCCATACAGAGGCCTCATTGGCTATGACCTGATTGACAGACTGGACTCCACTCCTTCACTCTTAATCCTCTCAAGTCCCAAATTGACACCAGATTATGTAACTACCACAGTTGTTTTGTTGTTTTTTAAAATTGGGCTAGCATTGTAGGTGTAAGGTGAAATCTCATTGTGGTTTTAATTTGCCTCTCTCAGATGGCTAGTGATCATGAGCATTATGTGTTTGTTAGCCATTTGTATTATTTTTGTGAGCTGTCTGTTCATGTCTTTTTCCTACTTCTTAATTGAGTTGTGTTTTTTTTTTTTAAATTGAGTTGCTGTAGAGTTCTGTATATTTTGGAAATTAGATCCTTTTCAGATATGCTGTTGGTAAATTTTTTCTCTCAATCTTTGGACTCTCATTTTACTCTCCTGATGAAGTCATTTGATGTGTATAAGTGATGTGATTTCAGCCTGTCGCAATCATCTATCTTGTCCTCCACTGAATATACCTCCTTCATTACACTTGGTAGTCTACGGATGCCCTGCAACAGGGGCCTTAGATTTGTTACAGTTTGCTCAGTGATGATCTTGATGGCTCTGGGGGTTACATTTTGGTCTTTAGTCCATCTTGAGTTTGATTTTGTGTTTGGGGAGAGAGATGGGTCTTGTTCATTCTTCTGCATATGGAAATCCAGTTTGAACAACGCAATTTGTTGAAGAGGCTGTCTCTGTCCCATTGGCTATTTCTAGTTCCTTTGTCAAAAATTAGTTGCCTATTCGCTGATGGATTTGTGTCTGGGTTTTCTGTTCGGATCCACTGGTCTATACATCTCTCATTGTACCAGCATGAGGCTTTTTGACTACTGTGGCTGTGAAGTAGGTTTTTAGGTCAGGTAGTATGAGCATAGGATATTCTTCCATTTATGCAGGTTTTGATTTTTGTTTGTTTGTTTTTTGAAGAATTGCTCTATAGTTTTTTCTGTATAGGTCTTTTTTTTTAATTAGGTCTATTCCTAGGTATTTAATCTTTTATGTGGTTTTTTTTTATGTGGTTATTTTAAGGTTTGTTTTCTTAATGTCTTTTTCATAGCTCTCTTTGCTAATATACAGGAATCAGATTGATTCCTGGTTGCTAATTTTGTATCCCGCTACCTTTCTGAATCCCTCAATTGTTTCCAGTAGGCTTTTTGTGATGACTTTTCAGTTTCCTATATATAGAATTATATCATCTGAAAATAGAGGCAGTTTCACTTTTTCTTTTCTTATTTGTGTTCTCTTGATTTCTTTTTGTTGTCTGATGGTGCTAGCTAAGACTTCCAGCACGATGTTAATAAGAGTGGTGATAGGGAACATCCTTGCCTGGTCCCTGTTTTCAATGAAAATGTTTCTAGTTTGTCCTCATTGAACATGATGTTGGCTATTGGTTTTTCATAAATGTCTTTTATTAAACTGAGGAATTTTCCTTCTATTCCTATTTTGTTGAGTGTTTTGATCATAATAAATGGGTGTTGAATATTGTGAAATACCTTTTATGCATCTGTTAAGATGCTTATGTCGATTTTATTCTTTACCTTGCTCATGTGGTGAATTCCATCAATTGTTTTATTGAATGTTGAACCATCCCTGCCTCCCTGGAATGAATCTCACTTGGTCATGGTGAGTTTGTTTTCTTAATATAATATTGGTTACTATTGGCCAGAATTTTGTTGAGGACTTTGAATCTATGTTCATGAATAACATTGGCCTATAATTTTGGGGAGCCTTTATCGTTTGGGTTTCAGTGTTATGCTGGCATCGTAGAATGGGTTTAGGAATTTGTTGTATTTTTCTATGTTCTGAAATATTTTGTGTAGTATTTGTGTCAGATCTTATTCTGAATAATTGGTAGAAATCCCCTGTGAAACCATTCTCCTAGGCTTTTCTTGCTTGGAAGTTTCTTAATGACTGCTCTATTTCTTGTTATGGGTCTTTTGCATTTTTTCAATATCTGTCTGCATTAATTTGAATGGATGATGATTTGTTAGGTATCTGTCCATTTCTTCTAGACTTTCTAATTTGTTTGAATATGGGTTTTCATAGTAGTGTGTTATTATTCTTTTTATTTCATTTGGATTTGTTGTAAGATCACACTTTTATTCTCTTATTCTGTGTATTTGCATCTTTTCTTTATTTCCCTTTGTTAAGTTTGCCAGTGGTCTGTTTATTCTGCTAATTCTTTCACAGAAACAGCTTCTTGTCCCCCCCCCCCCAATATTGTTGATTTCTTCTTTGATCCTGGTGATCTTTCCTTCATTTAAATGGAGGGTTTATGTTGTTGACCTTGTTCCAGTTCTGAAGGTGTCATGTTAGGGTTTTGGATCTCTCCTTTTTCCTGTGTATGTCGATTGCTGTAAAATAGCCTCTGATTACTACTTTTCCAGTCTCCTGTTGGTTTTGAAATGTTTTGATATTGTTATTTATCCCAAGAAATATTTTTATTTCCTCCCTTATTTGTTTGATTACCCTGTCATTTTTCAGAACTATGTTGTTCAATCTCCATGTGTTTGTCTTTGTATTTCTGTTTGTTTTATTGTTGATTTCTCATTTTATAGCATTGTAGTCTGAGAAGATAGTTGTAGGATCTCAATTTTTAAAAATGTGTGAGGCATGCTTTGTGGTCTAGTATATGCTCTATTGTGAATGTTCCATGTGCATTGGAGAAGTATGTATACTATATTTTTGTTGGATTGAGAATTCTTTTTATCCCTATATAGTTAATTTTGTTGATGGTGTTGTAGAGCTCTTTTGTGGTTCCTTTTTTTGATGTTCTGTCTTTCCTTGAGAGTGGCGTATTGAAGTCTCCTGTTATTATTGTCAAGGTGTCCATATACTTTTTCAATTCTGCAAGGATTGATGTATTTTGAGGATGTTTTATTGGGGGCTTTCATTGAGAGATATGTGTATTATTGTTACGTCTTCTTAGGCTATTGTTCCCTTCATCATTATGAAGTGTCTGTTCTGGTCTCATTACATTGTTTGCCCTGAAGTATGCTTTCTCAGAGATTAATAATGCTATCCCTATTTTCCTCTGGTTTGTTTGCTTGGTAAACTTTTTTCCAGACTCTGAGTTTTAGTCTCTTAATATCTGTGTTTCTTGCAAGCAGCCTATTGGTGGGTTTTGTTTGCTTATGGGTTTTTCTACTTCCTGTCTCTTTACTGGTGGGTGCATTTAGCTCACTAACATTCAGTGAGATTATTTTTATATATATATTTGTTACTGTCATTTTGCTTTATATTTGTGAATGGTGTATGCTAGTGTGTATGTGTGTTATGTTTAGTTTCTTTGTTCTTTTTATTTTACTTCACTGCTTTGGATGTTGCTCTGTGAGTGTTGTTTTTTTGAGGAAGTCTCTTGTATGTTGGTTATAGGTTTGTGTGTTGTTGATTTTTTGTCCAGAGCACTTCATTGAGTATTTTTTTTTGTAGTTGTGGTCTTGTTTTTGTGAATTCTATATCTCCTTGTTTTGGAATACTTTTATTTCTCCCTCATAGTTGTGTGATATAGTTTCTGGGTAAAAGATTCTAGGTCGACAGTTTTTCCTCTTGAGAACTCAGTATACATCACTCCATTGTCTTCTTGCCTGCAAGGTTTCTGCTGAGAAAGCTTGTTTTTCTAATTACTGATCTATTTTATGTAATTATTTCCCCCTCTGGCCACTCTTAGATTTTTTCCCCTCTCGTTGATGTTAGACATCTTGACTACAAAATGAGTTTTACTCTTGGGATATCTCCTGATTGGGGTTCTTTCAGTTTCCTTGATATATATATTTTTCATTCTTTAGACTTTGAGGAAGTTTTCTTGCAGGAGTTCTTGTAATAGTCTCTTTGTGGGTTTACTTTGTTTCTTCCTCTTCTGGAATCCCTATAAGATGTAGCTTGTTCATTTTGACTGTGTCCCACATGGTTCTGAAGGTTTTCTTAGTCTCTTTCATTTTTTGTTATTTGTTCTTGTTTTAGATTGGAGTCTATAGATTTGTCTTCAAGCCCACTAATTCGGATTTCCACCTCCAATTTTGTTTCTCTGTGTGTGTGTGTTGGTAGAATTGTTTATTCTGCTATTGTACTATTTGACTTTTGTGTCTCTGTTCAGAGTTTTTCTTGTAAGGCATGTAGTGATGTTGCTAGTTTTTGTAT